GGAGGGAGAGAGAGAACGTGAGAGAAATCAGATGATGAAATAAATCTGAATTGGAGAAACGTGAATATGTAGGTTAAATAATTTAGGGTATAAGAGCAAGATATGGATTAAAAAAATTAGGGATGTGGCTCATATATTATTTCAAATTAAGATTAATTAAAAAAATGAATTTGAACTTGTCATTTAGTTGAAATTATGTTTCGTTTGAGGGGCTCATAGCACATTACCCCTAATAATTAAGCCCTTTTCCTACAAGCCCATTTATAATAAAAGTATGTTATCATGATCATGATACAAAAACATTTACTATTATTCATTTTATTGCTGGTAACTCACTCTCTCTCTCTCTCTCTCTCTCTATATATATATATATATATAATGCAGGAATTTATGCACATAACATTGTTGGTATTATACTCTAACTACATATGGTTGTCCACTCAGAGACAAGATCAAGTGCCTATACACATCAATTATATTTGCATGCACTATTTAATGACCTAATTAATCTTTAATCCTTAACTTATAATTAATTAAAAAAAAAAAGTGAAAATTAAAGGGCCAACAAAGTTTCCTCTACTCCCATATATATTAATTAAGTTTAAAGCTAGCTAATTAGAATCTTGTCAAATCAAAGAAAACCCTAATTAATCAACTGCCTTTGATCTCTTACATCAATTGCATCTTGATCATTGGTCGCATGGAAGAGTCTTTGAGGAGTCGGCACGTCAATCCTCCTTCCACGTGGAGCCATGTCCTTGATTCTACCATTTGATATATATATATATACACACACACACACATATATACATACACACCTGCTTTTGATTCTTGAAAATCTTTTCACAATTTTTTTTCAAATGGAATTCAAAAGGGGTATTAAATTAATCCAGGTTCTCAGGCATAAACAACTTTTGGATACAATTCTTTAATTTCTAGTGGCTGGTAGAGTGTGCTTTGAGAAATAAATAAAAATAAAAAGGGCAAAGCACAACAAAAGCAGAACAATTAATATCTTCATGAATAATTAAAACTTAATTAGCTGCAAACAAGTTGCATTAACAAAAAGGAAATTAATTGATGATATATATTCCTTTGATAATCAAAAGATTATTCCTTTTTAATTTCATATTCATAAATGTGTGACGGGATGTTGAGGCCTCATCCATATACCACTTTATGGATAGGTCAAGGCCGCACCACACCTCTTTTAAAAATTTATATAAAGTAATTTCACTATCGACGAATTTAAATAGAAGTGTAACTGAGTTGAGCCGGCTCGTAAGACTGACGATCTTATAATATATTAAAATATATAATAAATACTAATAAAAAAAATCCCAATTTAATAAAATTATAGAAGTATGTAAACATATGCATGTTTGAAAAAAAGAATGACAAGAATGTACATTATATTATACTTTCGAAATGAAAATGAATGGTGCACTACTAGTGACTTTAAAAATAGGTCAAAAGAGTACGATTAGCTAATTGCCACAACAATTAGCAATAGCACTTAACCTTTTTTTCATTTAAATACTAATTAATTAATATGCTTTTATTTCTTCTTTAATCATACTTTTTGTTCATAGCCTTGGAAGCTTCCTTTCACTATTAGAACATCGTTGAATTAGTACATGTTAACATGGTAGTTAAACTCGCGAGATATCGCGATATTTATCGCGATACGATACGGTCTCAATCAAAACGATACGACTTGGGCTCTGTATGTAAATATCGCGAGATATTGTATCGTATCGCCATATCACGATACGATACGATACGATATTTACGATATTAGTCAAAATATTTAAACAAAAAAAATATTCACAATTTCAGGGGCTGGAAAACGGATTTCAAAATAACCCTTCAAATTCACAACACTAATCCACCTTTCTCACTTCATTTTCTTCACAAAATATCACAATATGGCTACCCTAACTCAATTTCTATATGTTCTTGTGATTTTTTTGCGATTCAGGTGCGAATTTATGAG